AAAATAAATGAGTAAAGAAGAAAAAGAGAGAGAGACAAACCAGGAAACAGACTCTTAACTATAGAGAACAAACTGATGGTTACCAGAAGTGACGTGAGTGGGGGGATGGGCATAATAGGGGGTGGGGATGAAGGAGGGCACACGTTGTGATGAGCACTGGGTGATGTACGGAAGTGTTGCATCATTGTATTGTACACCTGAAACTAATATGACACTGTATGTTAACTATACTGGAAATAAAATAAAAACTTAATAAATTAAATCAATCTGCATAATTAATCATATTAATAATAAAAGAGAAGGATCATGTGAAATACCATTAGACAAAACCAATTCCCATTTTACAATAAAAGCTCTTAACAAACTAGAAATAGAAGTGAAACTGCAATCTGATAAATGGCATTTATGAAAAACATGCAACTAACAAAATATTAGTGGTGAAATATTAAACTCTTTCCTTCTAAAGATTAGGAATAAGGCAAGAATGCTTGCTTTTCACCAATTCTATTAAACAGTGCCCTGGAAGTCCTAACTGTTGCATGCCTTAATCAAAAAGAAATAAAACGCATTACTATTGGAAAGAAAAAGTAGTACTGTCTGTATTTGCAGATGACATAACTATTTATGTAAAAAATCTTAAACAATGTACAAAACAACTACTAGACCTAATAAGTGAATTTAGTAAGGTTGTGGGATACAGGATGATGTATAAGAATTAATTGTATTTTTATATTCTAGCAGCAATCAATAGGAAAATGGAATAAAAACTCAATTTAAAATCATGTCAGGGGCGCCTGGGTGGCTCAGTTGGTTAAGCGTCTGCCTTCGGCTCAGGTCATGATCCCAGGGTCCTGGGATTGAGCCTCACATCGGGCTTCCTGCTCAGTGGGGAGTCTGCTTCTCCCTCTCCCTCTGCCTGCCGCTCCCCCTGCTTGTGCTCTCTCTCTCTGTCTCTCTCTGTGTCAAATAAATAAATAAAATCTTAAAAAAAAATAAAATCATGTTGGGGCGCCTGGGGGGCTCAGTCGTTAAGCTTCTGCCTTCGGCTCAGGTCATGATCCCAGGGTCCTGGGATCGAGCCCCGCATCGGGCTCCCTGCTCAGCGGGAAGCCTGCTTCTCCCTCTCCCACTCCCCCTGCTTGTGTTCCCTTCCTCGCTGTGTCTCTCTGTCAAATAAATAAATAAAATCTTAAAAAAAAATAAAATCATGTCAACAGCATAAAATGCTTAGGAATATATTTAACAAAAGGCATGCAAGACTTCTATACTAAAGCTAAAAAAACACTGCTGAGAGAAATTTAGAAAAACTTAAATAAATGGAAAGTTGTAACATATTCTCAATATTGTTAAGATATCATTTCTCCCCAAATTATGATCTAAGTCTTGAGCTTACTCCCTAGCTGTTGTTCTTGATGTGTTGGTTGTCCTATTTCCAAATTGTTTGTCTCCTCCACATACATATACCCCATAAAGCTAAGAGATGGCACCAAGAACTGCACATGCAGCCACATTCCCTCCTGCACCAAATCCCCACAATGTGACAGAAAAGATGGTAAACAAGCAAAATAGCCTCTCCTTCCGGAATCTACAGTAGCATGAAAAGTAAGAAAAAGTGTCACCAACAAACCAGGGATTTCAGGAGATTCCAGAAAGATGCAAAGTAGAAACACATCCATGCAGGAGAGCATAGCTACAAACGGATGGAATGGTTTGGAAGTACTCCAAGAAACAACAGAAGAATTAACTATGGGGCTGCGTCCAAATCTATGAAACCTTATTGGAGTTTATTAAAAGAAGACCTATAGGGAGAGGCATCATGTGTTTCCAGACTCAATACATAAATATACCATTTCTTCAAAACCAACCTATAAATTAAGTACAGTTATCAGAATTCCTATAGGATTTTTTTAATGAAAATTGACAGAGTGATTCTAAAGTTCTTATCAATAAAAGAACATGAGAGGATAGACAACAGATGAAGAGTTATGAGGGAATTTGTCTCCCAAGATAGCAAAACATTCTCTAATAGAGAATCTAGGAACACATTCATGTAGATGTTTAAATTTGGTTTACAGTAAAATTGGCGTTTCTAGTGGAAACGAAAGATGGATGTTACATAAATGATGTTGGGACAATTGGCTCTTCATTTGAGGTAAAAAATGTAGCCTATCCTATGTCATATATAGAGGGACATGGGGAGTCTTAACTAGGAAGGGAAGGGGGGGTGCTGCCATAGCGGAGTCATTTGGCTTGGTGAGCTGCAAGGTGATGCTTCAAGATGAAGTTTGAATTTGCTTGTAGAATACACATGCCCTATGGCAAGGTATGCCTATCAGAAACCCAGCTGTTCAGGCTGCTATCACAGATGTACCGTAGCATAGGTGGCTTGAACAATAAACAGTTACCTCTCACAGTTTTGGAGGCTGGGAAGTCTAAGATCAAGGTGCTGGCAGATCCAATATCTGGTAAAAGCCCACTTTCTGGTTCACAAATGATTGCCTTCTCATTGTATCCTCACGTGGTGGAGCGAGATCATCTCTCTTCTTTTAAGGGCACCAGTTCCATCATCAGGTCTCCACCCTTGTGATCTGATTGTCTCCCAAAGGCTTCATCTTCAAATACCATGATATTGGAGATTAGGTTTCAGCATATGCATTTTGGGGAGGGGGGACACCAGCATTCAGCCCATGGTACCACCTAACCTGGCCATCTCCCACCTTTTCTAAGGAGTGCCGGTAATGGCAGAATGAGAAATATCCAACAGCAGCTCTGGGCTGCGCCTGGAGACGCTCAGGTGGCCAATCAGAGAGCCCGTAAGAGAGCCAGGTCGTTATCCTGCAGGGCAAGCAGTTGTCAAAGATGGCCACATTCTCATATGTTGTTGATTTTATTTTTATTTCTTGAGTTTACTATTTTAAGTATTGGTTTTGGGGTATGTGAAGTTTAAATTAGGGTGACCAGTTCCCTAGGATGTTGTATTAGAGTAAAGACCCAAAAGAAGCCAGAGAATGAGTCAGGCGTCTGTGTGGGGGAGGGCGTTCCAGGCAGAGGGGATGGCAGGGCAAAGGCCCTGAGAAGGAGAAAGGGGGCCATGTGGCTGGAGGGGAGTGAGCAGGCATAGATAGGTTGGAGACGTCACAGAGGCCAGATCATGTTGGCCTTTGGAAGAAAAATCAGGTAGGGGGCTTCCTGGGACAGTGTGGCCATTGAGTAGCCTAATCGTCTCCATGTGGGCTTGAGGTTCACAGAAATGGAAGCCAGCGACAGTGTTGTAGATGTGGTCAAGGAATTGAGAGGAAAAGGGAGAGATGGGGTTTACCTGAAGATGGAAAAGCATCTTGGAAACGTTATGCGTGGAGGAATTAGATTATGTCAATGATCAGAGCCTGGGGTTTTTAGGTAAGCCTTCTGTAGAAAGCCTCTCTAGGTGGTACCAAAGGAAGGGGTAAGTGGGGTGGGGGTAGACTTATTTCCTGCATAGATTCCATCAGCCCCCACCTCACTCCTTGGTTTGAGGTTTTCTCATCTTGTGTGACGTGTCAGGCAAATGCAAATTCAGGCCCCCGTTCCTCCCAGTGAGGTTGCTTCTCCAGCAGCCCCCGTATAGAAATCCGGAGCCACCACTGTCCTCGGGGCTCCATCTGGCCTTGGTCCAGCCATGGCGATAGTATCCATGGGTAAAGTGGTATGTCATTGCCCTCAGGCAAGGTGAGGGTCCTAGAGAATACTCAAGATTTGGAGGCAAACTACAGGCACTATGCCATCCGCACGGTGATTTGCGGCTCTCTTTTGGTCATTTGTTGCTGTTCTTTGCATCTTAAAAATATAAGTTCTCCGTGGCAGGTGCTTTATTAACCAAAATTTGTGGTAGAAGGGAGAGGTGGGGCTGCCCACTTCAGAGAAATTTGCCTTCTTCAATGGGGAAAAATTGGGAGCCAAGGTCAACCTGATGTCCTATGATGAGTCACAGTGGCAAGCAATTGGCTCTTGATCGAAGAGAGGTGGACTACAGCTGTTCCTTATTTGTCCAAATGTTTATGCATGCGAATATTAAGTCAGAGAAGTGGCCAGTGCGGTTTTAGACCTGAATGTTAAAGTGAATTCAGATTTTAGCCCACAGGACAAGGAGTGGTAATAAATAAAAATCTGTAATTAATAAAACCATCTAAAATGGGGGAGAGCATTCAGAAAAGGATCTTTGTTCTCCACTCTGATTCTATGCAGACTCCTTTTGGATCAAAGTGTGTTATATTTGTGTTTTCTTTTCACCTTCCTGTTGCTTTCCTTTACATTGAGAGAACACTGGCCTTCTAATTGCTTCCAAGTTAAAGAGCAAGAGAGGCAGACTTGCGTTAGATCCATGGTGTGTAGTTCTTGGAAACTGATGATGCACGTTAGGCAATTTGATTTGTGACAATTACAAGGATTAACCATGAAATATAAAAACCCGCCTAGTATTGTACTTTAAAATGAGCTCTGCGCATGAGACTCGCACCTACATTTCCCGTTCACGTAACAGAAGTGTTGGTAATGGTTTCAGGACTAAAGCACAAATAAAATCTGTGTGTGCGATCTCTTCCAAAATCGGGGAAGATAAAAATACACACATGGCCCTTTATTCCCTGGTTAAACCTAAGGATGATTTGTTATCCACTCACTCCTTCTGATAGAAACTGGGAAGGGTAGGGCTCTTGAATTTTTTCCTCACTGAAATGTCAGGTGCTTCATGGAGCAGATTCTGGGGTAGAGGGGAAAACCCGGGCTGTCTAGTTCATGGAACTGACCCTCGTTTCCTCTTTCAATGGGGAAAAAAAAATCCAGAGCCACCTGTAAGCCAGTGCCCTGTGGTAAATCTTGGAGACTCAAGGTCAAGATCAACGCTTAGTTTTTTGACTTTGAAATTACAATAGTGTATGACAGAATGGTTTCACTGGATGAATAGCACAAAGTATGGACTTTTCCAGGACTCTTCTTTCTAAGTTTCTCGCATTTCTTTCTAGCATAACACAGCTGGTATAAACTGTGAAAACTGTGCTGAAGGTTTCTACCGCCCCTATGGTGTTCCAGTCGACGCCCCTCACGGCTGCATCCGTAAGTTTCATTTTTGACTTGGAATGTCTTGGACGGTCTGTACTGTACTGTTTCAGGGCGCTCATTGGGCTAAACTCTGATGGGATAGTCGTTTCCTTCCTTCCCTCTTTCTTCACATTGTTGATTCTGCTCCAAATGTGGTAGTGAAGAAGTTTGAAATAATGTGAGAATTATCAAAATGTGACAGGGACACAAAGTGAGCAAATGCTGTTGGATAAAGTGTGCCGATAGTCTTGCTCGACGCAGGGATGCCACCAACCTTCAATTCATAAAAAAACCCATAATATCTGCAAAGCACAATGAAGAAAATAAAACGAGGTGTGCCTGCATATTCTCTAAGATGTAATGAATGACATGCTGGCAGAAGCACCTGGGGAACATTAAGCTTTGGGCTTGTCACACACCGGCCATCTAACAAATGGTAGTTCCTCTGTTTTCTGTCATTTTGACATGTTTCTGTGATCTCCAATAATTTCAAATTTTGGTCTGCATTAGCATCCAGACAACATAGTAATGATTTCACAAGGATTTAATAATGGTCATGTTATCTAAAACAGTTGTGATTTATTGGGCACTTGCTATATGCAAGGTATTTTGAAGTAATTTCACAGATGTGTAATTATCACAACCAACTTAGGACACTGTATTATTAGTTTCATTTTTAGATACAGGGAAACCAAAGGCTCTGAGTAGTTCGCTATGTTGGCCCAGTTGCCCAGACTACTAACTGGTAGCTCCAGGATCCAGGTCCTGTCTGTCTGATGGCTCTGTACCATACCGCATCCATGATATAGCAGAATGCCACCAGGTTTTCCCTGGGGAATTATCAGTCACAGGTCAGACTATGGACTTTGCCTTACCTGTGTCATCTGTTTTATGCTCTCTGGCTGTCACCGTTGGAAACAGTTCAGGCCTGAAGTTGGCTGCTGTGCCCACTGTCCCCCCAGATTCACTCATCATATCATTAACATTGGAGGGCATCAAAGTCCAAAGAATGTGTGAACTCTGATTTGCCTCTCTGTTGGGCATTCATCCTTGTTCAAAGAGTGTTCCTCTTTTCCCTCCCTCTCCCACATCATCCCACGAGGTATGTCCATCACTTTTCTTGGGCCCACGAAGAACAGGCCTTAGCGAAGGAGACCAGGACATCGCAAATGCATCCTGAATCCCTTTCCCGGAATCACTGTTCTCGGTGATTCTCGGCTCTCCATGACTGTTCTAGGTTCTTTCTTCATCACTGAAGTGGTTTCGCAGTCTTGCAAAGATGTTACAGACATAGCATAGAGAATCCACAGGATGCATCAGTCCTAAGCAAGTTAAGCAAAGGACACCAGAAGAAGCTAGCCTGGAGTGGTACTTGCTGCCCACAGTTTCCCTAGCTTCCCAGTTCCTCACGGGGCTTGTACTTCGCTGTGTTCTGATAGTATTTTTGCTGTCCAAGGTCAGGACTTGCCAGGTCAGGGGAAGCTCCCAAGGGAGGGGTTACCAAGCCTCTTGTACCCCAAGTATGTCTATCTGGAATGCAAACCTAACAGTCGTGTTGGTTGCCAAACTGCCTTCAGTAAGTCCCGTCACTGGAATCTAACATTTGGGTTATGGGCACAATCTTGCTGTGCTGTCCACATGTTATATATCAATGTCGACGCATCCTGCACTCGTGACCACATTGCACCTAGGTGATGTTGACCACCACGTGGACATTCGCAGTTGGCTTGTGGCCCGGGGGAGGGGGAGAGGGGGACTGTGCCCAACAGACCTACCAGGGGCTGCAGCACCGCTCCCACCCCCCCCAGCCCCTCTGACTGGAGTCTGTGCACACCTTGCCTCCGATGCATGAGCCAGACAGTGCTCAGCGTAATAAACTGTATTCTCGAGAACTCAGTGCGGATGCCTTTTAAAGCTTATCTCTGAGGGTCCCTGGGGTTTGGTCGATGCAAACGATTAAGCAGGTATGAAGTGGAAAACAGGGTGTGCCCTTTCAAGAATAACCGGGGCCAACAGGAAAGTAGTACACACTGCGTGAGAGGTGCTGGGGACAGGGCCACCTTCCTGAGTGCACTGACGGCTGTGCCTCTCCTAGCTTGCAGCTGTAACCCCGAGCATGCGGAAGCCTGTGAGCCGGGCTCAGGCCGCTGCACCTGCAAGCCGAATTTCCGAGGAGACAACTGTGAGAAGTGTGCAGTTGGATACTATCACTTCCCCTTTTGCCTGAGTAAGTAGCCCCGGCAGGTGGAGAGGCGTCCGTTCCTGGCACGTAGCTGGTGCATTCACACCCGAGGGCACAGCGGGCAGGGTGGTGGCACCACAGACACGGGGCCACATAGGCTGTATTCCCATGAAAGTGTTTGCAGAAGTTCAGAGCGTAACATTTATATGACTGCACTTTCTAGTCTTATTTATGCCCGATGATTAGGTTAGGTTGTGCCATAGAGACTGCCATCCCAGGAGGTCAGAAAACAGTGATCCGTGTGTGTGATTTCTCTTCACAAAAGAACTTAGAAGAAGTGTCAAGGGTGCCAAATGTCCGTGTGCACACACATAGTGTGTGTCAGTGTTTTGGGTGTCTGGGGGATGTGTTGCCCCTTGCCCACTGTAGCACTGGCCAGATTACCATGGGCTCCCACCTCCCCTACTGCAGTGATCGGAGGGAATGTCTCAGCGTCTGAGAGAGAGAATATAGGTATCTGGTAGAAACACCATAGAATATGAAACAGGAGAGTCTGAAATCAGCCCTGCAAATTGTAACAAGAGCCATGATTCTGTTTGTTCTGCTAAAGTGTAAAAACTGCTCTTTTGTGTTAGGACAAAGAAACACTGTCTCAACGCCCCCCCCACCCCCCCTTGCTGAATTCGTTCTTGCATTCCCAGCTTTGCGGGGCAGGGAAAGCATCATGTGTTGTAGGACATGGGGGCAGGACACATGTGAATGGGGTGATTTTATGTCCTGGCTCACACCTGCTGTCCCAGGGGAATCATTAAACTAGCTCCCACTTTCACCATCCAGTAGCCTAATTTGGAGGATGAATTACATGATCATCTTATATTTAAAGAAACTAATTTTTTAAGCAGCGGTATTCAGTTAACACTGAATTGAGGCTCAATCCACTTAGAATCTGTAACTATTTAGATACAGGCTGAGCAGAAACTGCACTTGCCTTTTTAGTGACAAAAAGAAACCTGAAACAATTTTATGGCATTAACCAAATTTTATGGGGAAAAAAACTTGAAAAAAATAAAAAAAAAACTGTTCTCAATTTTACATTAAAAAAACCAATAAAGATGCTAAAGAAACCAAGCTCGTCACTGCTTAGCCTGAGACATAGCTATTGTGAGCACAAAATACCCATTTCTGTTAGTTTAATAGACAAATCAGAATGTCTGACCAGTCTGGTTTCAGTTGCATGTATATATATATATATATATATATAGCAGTATTGCCTTTCTCTAAATTAGGCTCCACATGCTACTTTTCACGAAGTTAGAAGGGCTTCTTTCTAGTTCATGCAATTTAATATTTTACTTTATCATCTCTTTAATCTTTCTCTGTATTTTTTTAAAAATGATTTTTCTAGGAATTCCCATTTTCCCTATTTCTACTCCAAGTCCAGAAGATCCAGTAGCTGGAGATATAAAAGGCAAGTACCCTCTCTTTTGGTTTAACTTCAATGGAAATGTTGTGCTCCATATTATTTTTTTACTTCCTACGCCTGCTACTACGCCCAAGTTCAAGTGTTCCTTACTGGAGCCTGGCAGGTGCCTTGCAGGTATCATTCTCTATGCCAGTCTGTCTTTTGCATGATGTTCCCTGATTAAGGAGACTAAACAGAGCTTGGATTGTATGTCACTTGCTTCCTCAGAAACTTCCAGTGGCAATCAGTTGCCTACTGCCTTGTTTGGGGTCTACAGAGACCCTGAGAAAGGATTTGAGCCCAAGCTGTCGATCCTGGAGGTGATCCCAGGAGACATCAGTAAGGGGGCGAGTCAGGGAGTAAAGGGATCCAGTATGAAGATGCATTAGCAAGCAAGGTCCTTATAGCACCTGGAGCTCCATCCCTCTAGGCATCTCTAGGAGACAACATAGAACTCGCTCGGCATTATCCCAGCTGACAGGATAACTTCAGTTACCTGCCGCCGACGGAGGGCTGCTTCTGGGGCTTGGTGTGCTGGGAGGCTGAGGAGCTCCTGCAGCCAGACAGGTTCCCCTGGGCAGAGGTGTGCAGGGAGCAGCCTTTGGGGTAGGGTGGTGAGTACTGGGAGGGTGTGGGTGCTACACTTACCTCATCATTCATTCTGCAGGTGTTAGGATCACCTGTCATGTGCCCAGCACCATTCTGGCTGCTGGGGACTTAGCAGTGAACAGAATAGAGAAAAGTCCCCAGCTCTCCTATAGCTTATATTCCAGTGGAGGGACTCATACAATAACAAAAATATATACAAACCACTAAAAAATGAAATCTCTGATATGTTAGATTATGATATGCAGGGTTGCGCCCTGCACAAGGGTGCTACTTTTAAGGGGCGGGGGAGACTTTCACACTGTAGATATAAACTAACCCATACGAGGAATATTCTAGGTCTTGAGATTTGATTCTGGAGCTGGGGGCGGTGTTCTAGGTAAGCCCACAATAGCACACGCAAGGACACACCCACTCAGGAAGGCACACTGCTCCAACATCCAGGCACAGCACACGCACACAGCCCATGACTGTGCCCCATCTGGACCATGTTGACCTCACCCACTGAGCTTCTCACCCCCTCCGGGGCACCAGTAGCAGCCTGACGGTCACATGACGAGGGAAGGGAGTGAGTACCAGGGGTGTGTGAGTACACCTGCCCCTCCTCCTGGTGTGTCCAGTGTGTGGGTGGGCAGAGAAGGGGCACTTGGGACCAGACAAGAAGATGGTCTCTAGAGAATTCTTTTCCACAGAAGACTTCCATTTCTTCTGCAACAATATAACAGCTCAAGGCTGCAGAAGACAAGGCGAAGTGCGGGGCTGGGGGAGGGACAGGCGGATGCTGTGATGGGAACTTAGAGACCCTCTCTTCTGGCTGTTCCTTTTTTCTGTCTGTGAAATAAGTT